CTGATTGAGACCTACCAAGAGTATATCCTAGTTTGGTTTAATTAGTAGAAATTTAATTTCTTTTGAAAAGAGAATACCTACTTTGTTTCAAAAAAGTTGGTTGAGTCATAAAAGACGCCACAACAACCATATTCCTCTGACGTTCTGTCTCTCTCTCTCTCTCTCTCTCTCTCCTTTTAAAAAACAAACAAACATTTCCTCTATGCAGATAAAATGTGATAAAATATCTCTATGTGATACAGGGTTCCCCCCCCCCCTATTTTTATTGACCATCTTTGAATCACATTATATAGGCATCTGGTATTTATGGAGCATGTAAACCTCTGGATACGAATATTTTTTTAAACATTACATTTTAGTTTATCTAAGGCATATGTACTTTGTATTCTTTTGAACAAACTTAAAACAAATGTGTTCTTTAAGATCATCCAATCACAATACATTTTTCTGATCCCTGTCATTACTTTTATTCCTCAAAAGTTATGAGCATCAGAAGATGTATTCCTATTCAATTTAATTTATCCTTTTGAGACTTTTTGTTGATTCGGGGCTTTGTTCATTATAGTCCCCCCCCCCTTTTTTTTTTCCTCGTACTCTTCTGTTGTGTTTATAATACAGTAATATCTAGGGTCCCCATTGTGATAGACACTATGCAGGCAGTAAGACAATTCCTATCCTGAAGAGCTGAAGTCTAAAAAGAAAAGATTAGCCAAGAGTGGGAAGGGAAACGAGAGGCAAAATTACTTGACCAGGGTTACACAGCAGGCCAGTGAGAGAGCTAGATATATCATCTGTCTCCTAAATCTCAATCCAGTTGCATGTTCACTGGACTATATTACATTTATTTCTTGTATAGGTTTTGGTCTTCCAACAACCGAGGTCCTGTATGTAGCTACTCTTGCACATTTTTCACGAACTGTACCATCTCTCTTCTTATTGCAGATCTAGGGAAGTGCAACAGAACTCTTTGAGAGAGTGAATTCCTATCCTTGAAAAGCAAATAAAAATGCAGTATGTGAAGGTTTTCAAATCTACAAAGATTCCGTCAAAAATATTGAACCCCTTTCTTCCCTTGTTGTGACTGTATAATTGAAAATAGTTTTTCTTTTTGCCATGGTATCTTTAGAAAAGTTCTGATTCCATAATTGAAGCTAGAATACACTAACATTGATTAGTAACCAGCTTGCTTTCAATATGGAGAAAAAGTTTGCACAATTCATACCCATACCAAACCTAACTATATGCACTGTCTTGCTTCGAGAAATTTATTTGCATAGTTATTGGAGTCCTTTCCTTAGGATTGGATCCTTTGTTCTTCATTCTACCTAGGAAGAATTGTAACTTGAAGGGAAACCTTCAATGGCATATTTTGAAATTCTGCTCTAATCTCCCTGAGGTATTTTTGTCTAATTACAGAGATGCAGCAGAAAGGTCTTAGAAGATCAGTATCCTATGAACTTCATACCTGTTTTTCCCCAACCCCCGTTTCTCTACAGTCATACAACTTTTTCATTGTGGTATCACTGGCATATAGGGTACATATTTCTGTACTCTTTTCATCTGGAGAATCCAGACTTAAGAGTTCTCCAGAGCCATATCCTAACTTGTGCCATTGATTTACTATTAAATTGAATATCTCTCAAAGTTAGACTGGTCTGTTTTGGTGGAAGTTTACATCATAAAAATGTAAAGGTATTTAAACTTGCATCCTGAAGTGAAACTTGCATAGTGAGTTTGACAGTAATTTAATCATACTCTTCTGCCCATGGACAAATTAATGTTCTGCTTACAGGATAAATTTTAGGACTTTATTGTGCCTTGGTCTCCATTTTATGTGAATTATAACTTCACAAATGCTTGGAGATCCAAAAGTTAGCATAACTTTCCTGTTGTGTAAACATCTCATATACTAAAGCTTTCTGCATAGCATAACCATTTATGTAACCCCATGGGCATTAGATTGGCCCCTTTTAAATATTCAAGTTTTGTTAACAGTACAATATTTTGAATTGCTGGTAACTTTATTTTATTCTCATTTCCTGTTTGTAGTTTTTCTTTGTGCATTCACTTAATGTTAATCTCCAAACAAATCTAACATAATATTGCTTGGTTATTACACTGACCATTGTAATGTTTGTTTTTTTCCGGAGATCTGTTTTAAAAAAAAAATAGATTTTTGTGTATTTTTAAACCATCTGTGTAGACAGGCTTTCAGTTACAGTATGGTTTTAAGACTCTTTTGCTGCCATTTTGCTGTATTACAGTATATCCATATTTTTCTCTGACTGTTTAGTGAGGCAAAACTGCTCAGCATAGATGAGAGTGATGGGTCCTTCAGTCCCAGTGAAGAAAGGAAGGTAAGTATTTTATATATTCATCCATTAAAACACACATTAAAAGTTTAGTTTTAAACAAAGTTGTATAGTAATCCCATTGAATTAAAAACAAAAATTGAAAAATGTGTGTGTGTTGCTTTTCCATGATGCACTCGGCAAAAATATCTTGAGTTGCATTCCTGTACTATGTTTGTCATTCTGAATTCCAGGGGGCTTGCTTGCTGCACTGTACTATCTTTTCTTTCTTCTGAGTTCTGAAACTATAAGCATTGATGGTTACTTTTAACTCTAGACAACTACCAGTCTAAGACTACATTAGTCTTTCTGCAAAGGAAAAACAAATTTACTTCCTAGTCTTTCTTGACCACATAGGCTGATTTCCTGGTTTTGAATATATATGTGTGTGTGTGTATATCTGGGTGTGGGAAGCAGTGAAAGGTGCTTGTGTTCTTTTGTGATTTTGATGGCAGGTGCTGAAGTATTTTGTTGGAAAGAAGTTTCATAATACTTGAAAATTTCAGTGTTTTGAGTAGTGGGTATGTGTAGCAAAGAAAGACAGTCTTTCTCTCTACCAAATCACCCGAGAGATGCAACCCAGTGAATCAGACCAAATGAACGATTAAGTAAATGGCTACATAGATAATGAGGAATAGGCTGTATATGGTTATAGCAATACTATTTAACTAGTAATATAGAACAGCCATCCATTACATTTTTTAATTTATTTGTTTATATTAATATAGGCTTGATAAATTTAACAGTAATTGAAAGGGAATAGTCCTCTATTAAGATATTTTCCAAAGTTCAAAAAGCGAAGTGCTATCTGTAATTCCCCCCCTTCTCCCCCCGCAAAAAAGAATAGAAATGCTGATGTTATCTCAAAGACATTATCTTGGCAATGCAGAATAGTTTTATTTCCTAATATTTACATATTTCAGGGTTTAAGGGAACTGCATTTATTGTGAAATTTTCTCAGTATAAATGGCATATTCTCTTTCCATTTTTTGTAGTTCCTGAAATTATGCTGTCTAGGACAAAACTTTAGACGGGAGAGTTCTGAATAGAATATTATATGAAACATAATTTTAGTTTGAGTTATGAGATCGTAGAGAAAACTGTTTGAAGACCAAGGGACAGGATTTATGTCGGAAATGGCTTACGACTAGGTTTTAGATAGAACATTAAGATGCTTAATGTCTAGTACAAAGGCAATGTAAATATGGATTCCATTGAGTATTCATATAAGTATTTCACGACTTAATAGTTGTATACTCTCAACCAAACATTTTAATTGTCTCATTACAGTCACTACGCTGTCGACCAGGAACTGTTGGCACCAGTGGCGAGTACATAAAAACGTATGCAAGGCGAGGCAAAACTGGAAGTTTTAGAGTTTTGACAGGGAACTCAATTGGACTCAACATGCTGGGAAATAGCAGGAAACTGAGGTACAGAATTTCTAAGTTTATAAGTAATTGCTTAGTTAACATCAGTTTTATTTAAACATGATATATGAATATCATTTTAGATACCCTTTTTCTTCTTCGAGTGATTGCTCATGTGTATTCCACAAAAGGTGTGCGTCCTTGCCACCTACACCAGTGCAGGAAGTTTTTCCCCTAGCAGTACCTGTAGGGGGGAGCGCCCCCCCATGACCTCTGGAGTGGCGCCTGCCTGGCATGGTATAAAAAGAGCTGTGTGCTCCCCCCACCCTCAGTTCCTTCTTGACGTCAGTGAAGGTGCGTCGGAACTGCTCTGCTCCAGCTTTGCTGTAGCTCGTCCCCAGAACTGTTTGTTCGTTTAGTACCTGTAGTTAGTTAGCGTAATTAGTTTAGTTAGTCAGTGAGCCTGGGCCGGGGCATGCCCTGAGCCCTGGGATTTAAGTTGTAAGGTTCTTGTCAGCGTTCTGTGCCAAGAAGTGACCCACACGCAGACTGTTTGCGCTGCTTGGGAGAAACCCATATCAGCAAGAGGTGCAAGATTTTGCAAATTGTTTAAGCCTCGGACCAAAAGAGAAAGGGACATTAGGCTCCGAGCCATTCTGATGGAGTCGGCGCTGACTCCGATCCCGGCACGCCGCTCCAAGCCGGTACCGGGCACTGCAGCATTAGTATGCAGCAATACGCTGGTGCCATCGACCAGTCGGCGCTGCTCCCTGTCCACGGGGCACGCCAAGAGGGCCAAGACTTCCCCCCTCAACACAGCAGCACCGAGCTTCCAGTTACAAGTGGCAAACCATCAGGCCCTCTTAGGTCGGTACAAATTTAATCTGTGGGGTTCCCTGCCGAAATTTGAGGTCTCCCTCCAGGAGCACGATAAGGAGTTCAGGGCGTTGGTGGAGGAAGGGGCAACGGCAGCTTGGGCTTCCCTGCAGGCTGCCTTAGATGCTGCGGACATGGCCGCACGTTCAGTGGCCTCCACAATGTCCATGAGACGGGTGTCATGGCTCCTGCTTTCCGGGCTCGCCAGTGAGGCACAATCGTCCATGCAGGATCTTCCGTTTGATGGGAAAGCTCTGTTCGCAGAGGAAACAGATACAAGGCTGCATGGCATGAAGGACTCCCGCACGACCCGCCAGACCCTGGGTCTCTATGTCCCGGCTCCGGCAAAACCTAAGTTCAAGCTGCAGCAGACTCTGACTCCGGCCACCCTCCCGAAGTACGAGGCCGCGCATAAGAAACAACAGGACTATAAGAGACGCCCTCATAGGCAGTCTCGGCCTGCCCCCCAGCCTGGACCCTCCAAGGGCAAGCAGGCGGGGAAAAGACTATTTTGACGGGACGCTTCGGGGCAACCCGCCAGTCCTCATCAGGGATCCAACCCCAATAAAGCTTCCCTTCTCCAACTGGTTGTGTGCTTTCCTTCTGGAATGGTCTCAGCTCACTTCGGACCGATGGGTCCTCAACACCATCTCCTGGGGTTACACAGTTTACCTCCTCCCCACCCAACCACCCCCACCCCAGTCCCTCCTGGGGGACCTCTTGCACGAAGCTCTGCTCGAGAAGGAGGTGGGGCAGTTCCTAGGATTAGGAGTGATAGAGGTGGTGCCCAAGGAGTTCATGGGCAAGGGGTACAACTCTGTTATTTCCTTATCCCAAATGCCAAAGAGGGTCTCAGGCCCATACTGGACCTATGGGGTCTGAACCAGCACATGGTGAAGCTCCAGTTCCGCATGGTCTCCCTGGCCTCCATCATCCCCTCCCTGGATCCCGGGGACTGGTACGCTGCCCTTGAGCTACAGGACGCGTACTTCCACATCCACATATTCAAGGGGTACAGGCGCTTGCTCTGTTTTGTGGTGGGACAGAATCATTACCAATTTACGGTCTTCCCATTTGGGCTGTCCACGTTAGTCTCGTTCCAACGCATAGAGTTTATCGGGGCACTCCTGGACAGAGTGTTGGACAGGGCCTCCCTCCCACCAGACAGGTTCGAGAAACTGTGTTGCTCATGTCTATTCCACATCCCACCCTCCTTCCCCTCTGTCGGAGTTGTCTGGCAAGAAGGAACTGAGGGTGGGGGGAGCGCGCAGCTCCCCTTATACCGCCCCAGGCAGGTGCCACTCCAGGGGTAATGGGGGCGCTCCCCCCTATAGGTACTGCTAGGGGAAAAACTTCCGGCACCAGTGCACGTGGCGAGCACACAAACCTATTGTGGAATAGACATGAGCAACATATCTCGAAGAACACCAGTTACGGAAAAGGTAACTCTTTTTTCACTGACTGGAGTGAAATTAAGGAAACTATAGCAAAGAGTCTCAATTTGCACTTTGCTAATCTATACAGTTGGCAAGTTATAAATAAAAGTGGTCTCTCCTTTTCAGCAAAATATAAGAGCAGAGTGCCATAGTGAGATCTTTAAATTTTCATTACTCTTACAAAATGTGCTATATAGCACTTACTAGTAAATGCTGAAGGCTTTCTGGACAAAATTTAACTGACCCTGGATATTTAACTGCATCTTGACTAAGTACCATTCAAGACTGCTTATACCATCACACAATCTCCCATTCATCCCCCTGAGGTACAGAATGTAATGTACTCTCTCTTGGTCATAGCCTGGAAGAGGCAGAAGCCTATCTCCAGGACTAGCTGGGATGCTCCTTCATTTCTCCTCCTATAGGACATCATATCACACAAGAACCACTTTGCACTACTTCAGAGCAAGTCTTCATCAACTCTGCTCACTCTCAGATTCAGCCTGAGCTCTGGTCTCAAAAGAATTGAGCACAAATGCTGATATCTATGTATTTCATGTTCCAGCGGCTCACCACCACTGCTGGTATTCACTGACAATACTCCAACTCTACTCTTATTCAAGTTGTAACTGAAAGCAATAGCTATATGAAACACCAGCCACAGGAAGTTCATAATATAGTTAAATTGTTTCCAATGCAGTCAGTTCCCATTCACCCCATATGCAGGGAAAAAATCGCAAGACCACTACATCCAGTCAATAAATAGCCATCCTATATAAAGTCAAACCAAGCATAACCTGAACCTCAGCCTTGTGTTGATAAGCAGGAAGTTATTGGTTAATAAGTGGTAGTGTAGCCATGCTGGTCCCAGGATATGAATGAGAGAGAGGTAGGCTGGGTAGTATCTTTTATTGGACCAACTTCCATTGGTAGAAGGGTTAAGCTTTTGAACTTCACAAAGCTCTTTGTTAGGTCTCTGTGGAGCTCAAAAGCTAGTCCCTTCTATAAACAGAAGTTAGTCCAATAAAATATATTACCTCACCTACCCTCTCTCACTCCTATTGTGGGACCAACATGGCTACGTTGCCCCTTGTCTCTTATTAATTAAGACAGTTCCAGTGACTCATCACTGAGAGTCACTTCAGCTAGTGTGCATCATAGAAACATGGAGTGACCTTACGTCCAGTGCTGTCTCACCTCGTTTCCTCCCACTACGCTGTACGCTAAAGACTCTTGACATGGAGAAAAAAATCTGGAAATGGTCAAATCATTCTATTCCTAGCCAAACAATTTCCAACTATGGGCAGTCTGATCTGAGTCCTTGGACCAAATATAAATATAAGGAATACAAGAACTTCAGGCAGGAATGAGAAACCTCCCTGTCCCCAGATAGGAAGAAGCTGTTACACTGGTCCATCCCTAAGCACCCATGAGCACTCGGCTCTCCAAATTTCAAAACCTATGTGAAACTAACTTCACCTGACGTAAGAACTAAATGCAAACTCCACTGCTTTGATTTAGCATTTCTCCAATAGCATGTGAGTGTGCCCAGGTCAAACTCATCTCTTTAAAAAATAAATAAATAAATTCTTCTACATGCAATGGAAGAGTAGTTTGTTGTTTTTTTGTGTTTTGTTTTTTTGTTTTGTTCTAATTACTGGAGAGATGCTGAAATGCTACTCTGGCAAGGGGCACACAAAAAACTAAATCTTTTCCTGCATTTGTTTTCTTTTGCTTATTTAATTTTGCCAAGTAGCAAGTACCTTGCAATGGGTGTCCCAGTTATTTAGTGAGATTCTGCACTATATGTTCATTTCTTGATGTAATTTTTCTGTAGTACAATAAATTAAATTACTCGGGTTTGCCTATTGGGTATTTCACTCTAACTATTGTATATTGAACTATAAAATAAGAAGTTATTTGTTTGGAATAGGCTTTAAATAGACTTTTGCATTGTAAATGATAGCTACCACTACACTTGTATTTGCCTAGTTTATCGATAAGAATATCATACGAGACCATATCAAATGCCTTACTAAAGTCTAGGTATACCACATCCACAGCTTCTCCCTTATCCACAAGACTCGTTATCCTATCAAAGAAAGCTATCAGATTGGTTTGACATGATTTGTTCTTTACAAATCCATGCTGGCTGTTCCCTATCACCTTACCACCTTCCAAGTGTTTGCAGATGATTTCCTTAATTACTTGCTCCATTATCTTCCCTGGCACAGAAGTTAAACTAACTGGTCTGTAGTTTCCTGGGTTGTTTTTATTTCTCTTTTTATAGATGGGCACTATATTTGCCCTTTTCCATTCTTCTGGAATCTCTCCCGTCTCCCATGCTTTTCCAAAGATAATAGCTAGAGGCTCAGATACCTCCTCTATTAGCCCCTTGAGTATTCTAGGATGCATTTCATCAGGCCCTGGTGACTTGCAGGCATCTAACTTTCCTAAGTGATTTTTAACTTGTTCTTTTTTATTTTATCTGCTAAACCTACCCGCTTCCCATTAGCATTCACTATGTTAGGCATTCCTTCAGACGTCTCGGTGAAGACTGAAA